TGTCCCGATGATGATAATAATGATAATGACGACGTTGATGATGCTGTTGCTCATGATGATGATGATGGTGCCCCAATGATGATGATGTTGTTGATGATGATGATGTCGATGGTGATGATGCGATGATCATGATGATTGTGTTACGATGATGATGGCGATGTTAATGATAATGTTGATGATGAGAACGATGGTGATCATGATGGAGTCCCGATTATGATGATGATTATGATGATGCTGCTGATGATGATGATGACGATGACTGTGTCCCGATGATGATGATGCTGATGATGAGGTGATGATGGTGATGATGATGTTGTCCCGATGATGATGCTGACGTTGATGATGTTTATGATGATGATGACGGTGCCCTCATGATGATGACGATGTTGGTGATGATGTTGATGTTGATGATGTTGGTGATGATGATGACGTTGATTGTGAGAGCGATTGTGATATCGATAGTGAGATTGATATTGAGACCGAATGTGAGATCGATTGTGTGATCGATTGTGAGATCGATTGTAAGATCAGTTGTGAGATCGATCGAATGAGATAGATCGAGTGATATCGATTGTGAGATCAATCGAGTGAGATCGATCGAGCGAAACCGATAGTGAGATCGATACTGAGATCGATAGTGAGACCGATCGAGTGAGACGTTGGTTCCCCCCCCCCGAACCTCCTTATCACCCGAAGGGTGGTCGTATAGGTATGTGTATATATATATACGTATACGCACCCATGAATTATACGATGATGATGAGGTCCCAGTCCATGAGAATCGGAGGTTGGGGGGTGAGATCGAAGTGGAACGGAGAGCCCCCCCCTACCAGGAAACCGATTTCGGTTTCGTGTTCGTGCGTGCCGTGCGGGCGAGGCGAAGCTGCGTGGGCGGGCGAGAGAAAGTCTCCTGTGGCTGAGGCGCGGCCGGACCAAATGACTCCCTTCCGGGCGGCCGGGGCCCCGCGGTGTCCCACCGGTGTCCCGCTGGTGTCCCGTGTGGCTGAGGCGCGGCCGGACCAAATGATTCCCTTCCGGGCGGCCGGGGCCCCGCGGTGTCCCGCCGGTGTCCCGCTGGTGTCCCGTGTGGCTGAGGCGCGGCCGGACCAAATGATTCACTTCCGGGCGGCCGGGGCCCCGCGGTGTCCCGCCGGTGTCCCGCCGGTGTCCCGTTCGTGTCCCGTCGGTGTCCCGATGATGTTGATGATGATTATGATGATGATTATGATGATGATGGTGATGATAATGATGGTGATAATGATGATGATGTTGATGATGGCGATGATGATGATGATGATGATGATGATGATGATGATGATGATGATGATGATGATGATGATGATGATGATGATGATGATGATGATGGTGATGATGATGATGATGATGATGATGATGATGTTGGTTTTGATGATGATGATGATGATGATGATGATGATGATGACGTCGATTGCGAGATCGATTGTGATATCGCAGAGAGTCTTCGTGTCGACTGGCATGGGCGGAGACACGGAGAGAGCGGCATGTGTGTCGAGCGGCATGTGTGTCGAGCGGCATGGTGGGATCGTGTGTGGGATAGTGAGACCGGCCGAGAGAGATCGATGATGAGATCGATTGTGAGATCGATGGTGAGATTGATCGAGTGAGATCGATGAGTGAAACCGATAAAGAGGTCGATCGTAAGATCGATAGTGCAAGAGGGGGCGCGGGCTGCGCCAAGCTTTGCCAGCGCTTCAGTCTTCTGTGGCCAAATGGCGCCGTTAGCTGCCGTTGCGCAAGTTGGGCAGGTTCCCAGGTGGAGGGCCGAATGGTACCAAGGCGCCAAAGAGCGAAGGGTGACGTAAACAACTCGACACCAACGCTCCCAAGAGCGAGCGGCAACGCAACTATCTCCACTGGCATTGTCACAACAACATTTACCACTGTTGCCCATTGCTGGGCCCCTCCCCCCCCCCAACCTCCTTATCACCCGCAGGGTGGTCGTATAGGTAGCTCTGTCACCACCTTCTAAGCAGAAACATGCCATATTGCAGAAAACAGAAAAATACAGACCTGGTGATGTCCAAGTCCGCGCGTCTGGCTCTATCACCACCCCATAGGCAGAGACAACCCAGTTCATGAGACAATCTACCTGGTAATGCCCCAGTCCATGTGAGTAGCTCTGTCACCATCCTGTAAGCAGATACAAACCAGTCCAGAAGCAGAGACAATACATATTTGAGGATGCCCCAGTCCATGTGAGTGGCTCTGTCACCACCCCATAAGCAGACACGCCAGCCCTGAAGCAGAGACAAAACATATTTGTTGATGCCCCCCGTCCGTGTGAGTGGCTCTGTCACCACCCCATAAGCAGAGACAACCCATGTCACGAGACAATCCACCTGGTGATGCGCCAGTCCGTGTGAGTGGCTCTGTCACCACCCCATAAGCAGAGACAAGCCAGTGCAGAAGCAGAGACTATCCATATTGCGAAGGCCTTACGGCTGGTGCCGCCGACCCTGAAGGGGGACGTCGACGACTACGGCGGCGGAGGTGGCGGCGACGACGACGCTGACGTGGGCCCGAGTATTCAAGGAAGCTTCTTGGGGTCGCTTGGGAAGGCTCTCGGGGGCCTCTGGAGAGGAATTTTGGGGTCTCTTGGGAACCTCTTGGGGGCCTCTTGGGTGCCTTTTCGGATGTCCTGGGGGCCTCTTGTGGGCTTCTTGGGCCTCTTGGGAACCTCTTGGGGCCTCCTGGGAGCTTGTCGGGGCGGAAAGCTCGAAATAGCCGTTGGGGTTCCCAGTCAATGCACGCTCTTGGAGCCGTCTTGGGGGCCTCTGGGGCCGTCTTGGAGGCGTTTTGGGCTGTTTTGGGGTTCTCTTGGGATGTTTTGGAGCGCTCTTGGAAGCTGCTTGGGCCGTCTTGGGGCAACATTGAAGGCCTCTTCGGCTGTCTTGGGGTGGCGGGAAGCAGAAAAGGCGAGAACGCCCAAATATGTCAAAAACCTACGGAAAGTCAGTGATTTGTGCCTCTTCGGGCGCTCTCGGGAGTGCCTTTGGAGGCCTCTTGGGACCCCCATTGGGCACCCTGTGGAAGAGTCTTGGAAGTCCGCGGGCCTCCTGGACGTCTCGTGGAGAATTCCTGGGGACTTCCTTGGGCTTCCTGGACCGCGCGGCGGTTCCGGGATCGCGCAGGGACCGCGCGAGGGTTTCGGAATCGCGTGGGGGTCCAGAAGCAGCGACGATCCATATTTGTTGACGCCCCAGTCCACGTGAGTCGCTCTGTCACCACCCCATAGGCAAAGACGCTGAATGCTACAGTTGTGAGCAGCATCGCCCTGCGACTCCGCGCCAGTCGCCTGCTCTTTGCCGCCATAGCTCCTGCAAGGCGTCTCGGCCACCAGCTGATGCGCAAGCCAACTCAAACACATTGCGCTTCGATGCATTTCTCGACCTGCATCGTCTCCAGGGCCCGAAACGGCGGGCTAGAACGAATGACCCTGGATCGAAAACCGGTCTGCGTAAGTCGTTGTCGTCCGGGAGACAAGCGATTTTGCCCATCAGTTCGAGCTGCTTCCAGGCTAATGTGGAAGTCAAGCGTTTCCTGCCGCACCTGTGTAACAAGGCTGCGTTGGACACCCGATTGAGATAGGAGTGAAGGATGCCAGCGATTTGTCGAAGGCATCTGGCGTGGAAGGCATCCAGTCGCGACCTCACTGTCTGGTTCAACCAGGTGGTGTGCAGACAGTACATCAGCTTAGATATGGCACAGGCTTCAAACATCATGACCTTCTTGGACAAGCAAATCTTCGAATGTCTCCAAAGTCTGCGCAATGCATCGAAGGCTTTTTGCGCCATGCCAATGTCCATTCCCGCCGTCTGCGTGAAGCATCCCTCCCAAATACACCATGTGATCCTTCTGGGTGATGGGTTGGCTGTCAGGGCGAAGTAGCTCCGCCTGGCAACGAAATGGCATCACCTCTAGCTCGCCTCAATGGAAACATAAACCGTAATTTGTGCCAGCCTTTCGGATAGTTCCCATGAGATATCGAACGTACTCTTCTGTCACACCCACAATCAAGGCACCCTCGGCGTATCTCAACTCGCTTAGGCGCAGCCTGCAATCTTGATAAATGCCTCTGCCGCGCATGCTGCGCGTCACGCTGAACATCAGCAGGGTCATCACGATCGAGAAGAGGAAATATGTCAACCCTTGGGATAGTCATCCCGAACGCCTGCGGCCTTGAATCAGACGAACCCTGCGTCGCGCACGCAGAAGCTCCGGTTGGTGTATATGGCCTTGACCGCCGATGCCAACTTCTCTGGCGCGCCGAAGCGGACGAGCGCCTGCGCCAGGCCATCGGGAGACACGCTGTCGAATGCTTTAGCCCAGTCGAGCGCAAGGAGGATCAGTTTGCCTGACTCGGAATCTCAAATGTCCTCGACCAAACACATTGCGAAGAACAGGGCGTCTGCTGTTCCCCGACCAGGACGGAAGCCGAATTGAGCGCTCCCAAATTAAATTCTTCGGCTCATGAGTTTTTCAGGCGCGACAACAATATCGATGCATACAGCTTGTGCCCGATTTGCACAATCCGAAGAATCGCCTTTTTTGGACATTGAGGAAACAACAGCCTCGTGCCCGGTTTCGGGCTCATCGTCTTTCAGCTAACACCTGTTGCATAGTAAGGTCGCCCCCTGGTAAGCTGGCGTCCCGGCCGCGCACGCGGTCTTCCAGAGCTCGGCTGGCACACCGTCCTTGCCCGCAGCCTGGTTCCGCTTCAGAGCTCGCGCGACTTCACACACTTCTTTCTCGGTAATCGACCCCTCCCAAATTCTGTCGACGGCCGTGGTGGGCCTCACCGTCCACTGCACGGTTTTGAAATATTCTGCCAGCGTCTGCGCTCTCAAGTCGCTGTCTACCAGGCACCCTCGTGAGTCTTTCATTCGGCCCTGTGCGTCCGTCCAACATTATGTGCAGCTTTCGGATTTCGTCACAATCCCTTTCTGGAGTCGCTCGTCCAGCTAGATCCTCTTGTCGATCTTGACGGAAGCCTCTATCCTGCCATTTAGAGTCTTCTCGAGTGCCAGATGACCCCCAGCCTGGGCCCTTCTCCTAGCTGCAATCAGCTCCAGCGTGACGTCGTTGATCCATGGGTGTCTGGGCGTCTGCCGGGTCTGGGGCAGACACGCAGCAGCGGAAATTGAAAAGTCGTTGACCATGCTACTGTTCAGCTCGTCGGGCGTCTGCTCGGCCTCCCAGCGCTCTGCTGCCATGAAGTCCGCGAAGGCGCTGTCGATGTCTCGCTGGAACGGCGCTTGGGAAAGCGCCTGCACATTCATTTTCTGCTTGCACGATTGCGAAGCGTCGTCGATGTCGGGCTGAACGCAATACGCCAGCAGGACATGATGTGAAGCGAGAGCTATACCTTTGTTGCTTCAGAAGTCTGTCACACATTCCGGGCGCGCACCAGAACAAAATAAGAAATCTACCTTGTCATAGTGCTTTGGGTTTGCTGGGCTGGAAGGCTGTGAACTGACATTGTAGCATGTTGCCTGCTTCTATGGAGGCTGGTTGAAGAAGGTGTTCGCGATCACGAGGTCATGGGCTAAGCAGGGCTCGAGCAACAACGTCCGGTTGGAAATGAAGTTATGTTGTGCGGCTGGGTTGTCAAAGATGTATTCTCCCACGTGAGCGGACTTCCCTGCGAAACGGCTGTGCAACCCCGCGTTGAAATCGCCCAGCACATCTGCTCGTTCTGGGCCAGAAGCGCCCGATATTTCGTCTCCAAGCTCTGTGTATAATCTCCGTCTTGTATCCAAGGATTTGCCATGGTGGGGAGCGTACACACTGAAGATTGGAGTCTTCCCACCATTACCACGCAGCTTGATGAACATAATTCTGGCAGAAACCATCTTGAAGACAACGATACTCCTCCAGTATTGTGGCGCGATCAGGAACGCAACGCCAGCGGTCTCCTGATCGTCAGAGCCCCCCCGATTGGACCAACAACAAGCGCTTTTCAGTATTATCGTACACAGAATCGTACTTGTGGATCTCCGGTAATGCCGAAGTAGCAATTTCAAGCTCTTGCATATGAACCTGGAGTTCCTCCACCTTTGCCTCGGCGAGCCCCTCCACGTTCCAGGAACCCAGAACTACCTCCCTTCCGCAAGGGCGCATATTCCCATCTCGAAAGCAAGGTTCCTCACCGCAATTGCTCCCAGCACTTGCGTATGTACACGGTAATCAAGAATTCGATGGTGACACTCTCGGTGAGACTGTGCCGAACGGTTCCTGTAGGCCCTATTCCGGGCCGCCGCCTTTGCCGTGATCTTTTGAGGTTCCTTTCGCACCTCCTTTCATGCCAGTGGTGGCTTTCTCGGCGAGTGAGTCGCACTTTTTCGTAAGGTCCGTTACCTCTTGGCTGTTGTGGAGCTCCACCCAAGTGGCCCATTCCCCATACCATTTTCGAACGACCTTGCCTGGGAAAATGTGCGCAGTCACGGGCCCCCTTAGGCCCTTACAAAACGGAAACTCCCGCAGCGACCTCTAACCCAACATTGTAGTGGGGCCTCGCGGGCTAGCGGGCGGCACGCCATGTCTTCTGCGATCTTTGCGGCCCACACTTTTTAATTCAGGGGGTTGTCACCGCCATCGCGTCAAAGCGTGTCAATTCTTAACGCTCCGCGTATCCCCCCGGCCCATTCAGAAATCTTGTCCATGAGAGTTGATGGGAAAAGGGACGCACATACAATCATACATATACCGAAAGAGAAAGATAGAGAGAGAGAGAGAGAGCGAGAGATAGAGAGAGACAAAAAAAAGCGGACAACCAGGGTGAACAGAGAGATCTCTGGAGCAAGGGGGTGACCTTGGATGGCCTCGTGGGGACATCCCTGGGGCCCGCGTGGGGGCGAGGGAAGGAGGAAAGGAGGAGGAAGAGGAGGCGGAGGAGGAGGAGGACGACGACGACGACCACGACGAGGAAGCGGAGGAAAAGGACGAGGACGAGGAGGAGGAGGAGGACAGCGAGGACGAGGACAGAGTCCTCAAAATCGCCTCTTGGCTTGGGGCCCTCGTGGGGCTCTCTGGGGGGCTTCTTGAGAGACCTAGAGAGCCTCTTGGGGCTACCGTGAAGGGCGTCTGTGAAAAAAGAGGGGTTCTACCGTTTGCCCCCCCCCCTCCCCCTCTGGGACCCTCAAAGGCGCCTCTTGGCACTCTTGGGGCTCTCTTGCGGCCATCTTGGGCGCTCTTGGGAACGTCTTGGGGTGTGGGCCATCTTGAAGCTCTGTTGGGCCATCTTGAGGCCATGTCCAGGCCTAAAAAGCGCATCTGACGCGAATCATTGCTGTTTCTATTGTTTTTGATGGATCCGAGGGCACGTGGAGCCGTCTTGCGGCCCTCGTCGGGCCTCTTTGAGGCATACCAGAACCTATCTTGAACCATGTTCGACTGTCTTGTGCCGCTTTGGAGGCCATCTTGGAGCATAGGAGGCCCTCTTAGAGCCATCTCAGGCGAAAAAAGACCCCCTGAGACACCGCGGCCAGCCCAACAAAACCTCAGGGAGGGGAGGGGAAGGGCACTCCTCCCGGAAGGGAGTGAGTCCTTGGAAGAGGAAGGAACGCGTTAGATCACCGTAGACAAATTGGCTGGTGGGACTTCATTTGCACTCTCTCAGTGCTCCTCACTATCATACGCTGTCTCGGCCCCGCGACTGCGGCGCTTCTACCACTTGGTGCGAGTTCGGCTTCGCTGCCTTGCGCAATGCTTGAACCGGCCTTGGACGAGTGCCCGAACATTTTGCGAAACCACCCTCTGGGTGAATGGGTGGTGACAGGCATTTGGCGAGGGAGCCACTCTCTCGTCGTTCGCTCGTCGATCGACCCTCGTCCGCTCTGGCGGCATGGAGAGGGATCGGGAACTTTCTGTGAGGATGTTCCGAGCGAAATCGCCACTTCCCGATCGAATGGGAAGTCGCGGGTAGAAGAAATTTTCTGATACGGGCCCAAACGGGTTTGTACAATATTAGCAGGTGGTGGCGGATGCGCCGAAAACTCCCGCAGCGGCTTCCAATCCAACATTGTACTGGGGCCCCGCGGCCTCATGGGAGGCACACCAAGTCTTCTGCGATCTCGGCAATCAGCGCTTTCCCCCCATATCCTAAGATGGGATTCTTGGTATTACTCAAACGCCTCTGGTCCTCCTTCCTCCCTCTCCTCCTCATTACGGGGTCCATCACAGACCCACTCTTCGTCACGGGGGCCGTCACAGACTCTGGGTCCCTCACGCGGACGCAGCCACATCTTTTCTTCACTCAGACTGACTCAGACTGACTCAGACCCACTCATGAAATTTGCCTCAGGCACAGACTCATTCATACACATTCAGACTTCAGTCAGATTCTTCTGGTGGACCACTGCTTACCGCGATGCAGCAGGCGTGGGACTTGGGCACCCCCAGGGGGAGCCGCCAGGATGTATTACGCTCGCACGTTCGTGCCGAGATTGTGGACATGTTTCACACGGCTTGCATGATTCGTCCCTCCAGTATTCTCTCTTGTTGTGATCCAGTGATCACCGTTGTATTGCAGGCGTGGCACTGGGTCACCCCATGGGAGAGCCGCCAGGGGGTACATTCGCCCGTTCGCGCCCAGATTGTGGGAATATCTCGGGCGGTTTGCTGGTTTCTGCCCGCCATCTTGTCTCCTTTGGTGGTCCACTGGTCACCGCGATATAGCAGGCGTGGCACTTGGGCATCCCAAGGGGGAGCCTCCAGGGGGTATCACACTCGCACGTTCATGCCCAGATTGCAGGGATATCTCAGTCGGTTTGCCTGCCTCTGCCCACAAGACTTTTTTCTGGTGGTCCACTGATCACCGTTGGGCACCCCAGGGGAGAGCCGCCAGGGGGTACGACACTCGCCCGTTCGCCCCCAGATTGTAGGGCTCTCTCGGGCGGTGTGCCTGCTTCTACTTCCCCTGACCTATTTCTTTTGGTGGTCCACTGCTCACCTCGGTATAGCAGGCGTTGCGCTTGAGCATGCTCGAGCATCTGGATGGGGAACCGCCACGGGTGAGGACACTCCAAGGTCCACGCCCAGATTACAAGGGTTTCTCATGCGGTTTGTCTGTGTCTCCCCCCAGATTTATATTTGGATTTCTGCGTTCCTCACTCGCTTGCCTCCTCCTATTTCTCCGTTTCCTCATTCAAACGCACTCATTCACCTTCAGACTCACCCACCAGTACCTATTCGTTCAGACTTATTCATAACATCCAGGCTCGCCCATAGTCGGACTCTCTCGCAACCTCGCTCATACTTAGGTTCACCCGTTCTCTTACCCGACGCGGATCCAGACCCACTAGCACCCATACTTACTTTCACTCAGACTCAGTCAAGTTCAGACTCGCTCATCATCAGGCTGCTCCCAACCCAGTCTACCTCGTACTCAGGCGCACCCATATCCAGATTTGTATTCACCACATTCACACTCAGACTCACGCACATTCAGACACTCTCGCACTTAGATCCCCTCGCACTCAGACTCGCTCGCGCTCCGAATCAATCATGCCGAGATTCGCTCGCACTCCGCCTGACTCGCACCGAGATCACTCACGTTCATACTCGCTCGCACCAAGGCGCACACGCAGATGGCTACTGCGATATTGCCAGCGTGGGCCCCCCAAATGCCAGTAGGCGTCGCGAGTAGCACGCCAGAGAGCGGGCGTAGCAGCGTAGCAACGCCATGCGTGCTTGCCTGAGTTGCCGCAGTGAGAACGGCAACAGGACTCCCCCGTCGCTCTTCCAATTGCGTTTCCCTCGTCTCGCCTGAAAGATGTCGAGAGGAAGACGACGTCACTGAAGTCGTCGCTGTCGTCGTCGTTGTCTCGCTTGTCGTCTACTCACAGACAGAGTTCCCCAGCGAGACGTGACAGGAGTTATGAGATGCATATATCGGGGTCTCCGCGTCGAGTAGTTAATCCAAGGGGTAGGCTTAGGGAGCGCCGCCCAGGCTTGACCCTTGCTGCCCTTCGGAGGTCACTGGGTCCGCTCGCTATAACGATATTAGATCTATCTTTATATACACACATACGCATCATATATGTAGATCCATGTATCCACGCCTATCTCCCGTGCGCTGGAGGGGAGAATTGAGGGTGGGAAGCCTGATGGGGGGAAGAAGAAGCGGAGTGGAGAGACAAGGGGGCTGAGGAAAACGAGGGGGAATTAGATAAGGATAACCAGGAGGAGGAGGAAGAGGAGGAGGGGGAGTAGGAGGAGGAGGAGTAGTAGGAGGAGGAGGAGGAGGAGGAGGAGGAGGAGGAGGAGGAGGAGGAGGAGGATGAAGAGGAGGAGGGGGAGGAGGAGGAAGAGAGGAGGA